AATATAAAGAACAAGAGTTCCGAGATCTCATACCTCCATGAAATATGGGCTTGCTTTGTTAATTATGTCCTCATTAATTATGCAAATAACCTCTACATTAACATAATATATGTATAGCGATGCAAACCTTTAAGTAACTTACACATGTTACAGGTATAAAATTCCCATCATTCACCAATAAGGATTCACAGAATTTTCACATTAATTATGCAAATTAGGTCATCATTTGCATAATTGGTATCTGTTGATGTTCCGCCTGCCACAGATTAAATAGATTACATGTATAGCAGTACCATTATATGAAACACTGTAATTATAGAATTCCCTCATTAATTATGCAAATGAAGTCCTCCTTTGCATAATTTGCATTTAATCATGTGCAACTGTCTCTCAGGTACCTACACACCAAAAATGATGAAAATACGTTGTTCCAATCTGGACTTATTGGCTTTGAAAGTTTTTACCAGAAACTAACCTGCAGTTCCATAACAAGCTGCTAGGGGGACCAAACTTACGCCACTTATTTCTGACAGGACAAGCTATCTGTCACCAAAAAATCAAGACCATAGCTTGTTCAGGACAAAAGATACAAAAACCGGAAGTTCTGCTGCAGTACCAAGGTCATCCACCAGGAGGCCCATACTTGACCTTGACCTTTGTCTTTCCAAGACTTACCATCATGCCAAATATCATCACAATGCATCAAGGCGTTCTTAAGTTATGATGACTACAAATGTGCGGAAACACAAACACACACACACACACACACACACAGACATACAGACAGACACGCCAAAAACAATACCTCCATTTTTCATGGAGGTAATAACAAAGATAAAAAGAGCAAAAGCAATCTATTTCCCTGTCCCTGTACACGAGAAGACATGCTAGTATAATATTTGCTTAGGTCTGGATTATTGTTCTGGGCATATTCAGACCTCCCACCAGATCTCAATGCACAAACCTATAGTCTGGAACGTGTTTGAGTTTCAGGCTTAATATGTGCTCGCTTGGTAACCTACGAGAGGACAAGATGCATAATGTTTGGGTGTTCAAACTTGAACATTTCCCAACAGTATTTTTTCACTATAGGGCATACATAAAATGAAATCATGAAATGCCAGCTAGTCTACTTCACAAATTCATACTAGGTATGGAACGTTAGATTTCAGAGTTCACTAGTACTGATAAGGCCATGTTGATTTGATTATATGGATGACATCCGCGCGCGCATGAATTTTCGGCCGTTTCCAAAAAAAAAAAGTTTTCAACCATACTGTAAATCGTACAAAACAGTTGCAAAATGAGCAAAAATATACCATAAGTTACAAGAAAAATTAATAAAAACTATACCAATGTCGTAGAATGCCAAAATCAAACGAAAAAAGACGAAATTGTAAAGAAATGAACTTGAAGACTAGATTATTCGCCAAACCATATTCTGTGCCATTTGCTCAACCCTCATGACCACGTAGATTTCATAATGAAAATAACTTTTTTTTTTTGCAAAACTTTTCTTTATTCGCACGCGCGCATCAGTTTTGGGGCTGCCGGAGGATGTCATCCATATAATCAAATCAACATGGCCTAATTCACAATGCATTATTACGTTGAGCTGGGCCGTTATCAACATGTAACAAAATCACCACTCATCTGCTTACATGAACTTGTGACCCTTTGCGTCACTGATGTCGTCAGCGCTGGACAGGTACCGGTAATCCAGTTGCTTTCCCCTTCCGTGCCAGACCTTTGGGCCCTTCAATAATAATAATTGAAATACCTTTATTGTACATTCATGCCACGACGGGTTAGGTACAGGTCAAGATACTGAGTATGACAGACACATAACAAACGTATATAGAAAATTGGAGACAAAATATGCACTACTTGACTTAGACATACATACATAAGGAACAAACAAGGGTACTATACTAGGCTACTACATAGTGTTCTAGTCACTGAGCTAATATAGAGAGGTCAACTTCTTGTCGCTTTTTTGTACAGTGGAAAATGTGGGAGCAGATCATGTTTGTGATACAGGGTTTGTCTAGACGCATCAAAAATATAAATTTATCATTTGCGCTTAGGTGTTCAAAGTATGGAATCTTCTCTTTGATATGATTAAAAAGGACAGATCTTTCATTAGAATATCAAGTACAGTCTAAAATAAAGTGTTGTTCATCTTCTATCCTATTCATGTTACAGTATTGACAGAGTCTGTTCTGGAGTTATACAAATCGAATTACGAATGTCAGTTTAGCGTGGCAATGTATTCTAGTTGGTAAACGATAAGTTTGCTTTCGACAATACACACTCACCAGCTCTACAGGAAGCTACGAAGTACTAGAAGTATACTCTACACATAATTTCCTGTGTTAGGCCACAGCAAGTAATTTTTATGGATGACATCAGCGCGCGCATTAACTTTCGCCTGATTTTGAAAAAAAAAAAATTTTGTTGCCCTGTGACAGTGGTCAACATGCCGAAAATGGGCAAAGATGTCTGTTGCCATGCCGAAACGTGGATGGCAGATAACTGTGAAGACAGGAGACAAGAAAAGACTCTGATTTAATGCTACGTTTTTTTACTTTGATGCAGTGATTTGTGATGCTGGCCATGTATATGTACTGTTCTCACTGAATCAAAATCATTTGTACAAATATTGAGTCAAAATTTGATAATGTAGGAACCTTATTTTTTCGGCCCGCCTTTTTTTTTCGCCCGCTCGCATTAGATTTGGAGTCTGCGAAGGATGTCATCCAGAAAATTTACTTGCTGTGGCCTTAGGGAGATCATTACATATATGGCCCAAGGTACCAAAGTCGGAAGAGGAACTTGATAACATTCGAGAAATGTTTCGTACAAATTATCGTCGCACTGCCCGCAAAAGGACATATTCTATGACGGAAAAATAAAAGTAACAGTTATACCTTGTTTCTCGTAGTTCTCACATCTTGTCTGATTCTTGCCGTGTACAATAAGCGGTGAATCAGTGCCACTTTCCCCTGGACCCCCTCATCATCATCACACCGTGCCAGTGCAGTGTTGTACAGAGCAGTAGCCTTACTCAAACATGGTGGGTCTCTGGTTTCTGTTCCTCTTCTCAGGTACAAGTCACCCAGACTCTTAATGGCTTCCGTCTCTAACAAATTGTCCTCGTTTATGACACCTTCTATCATTAACTTAATATATTCAATCAACACCAAGTCTTTGTCACAGTCAAAGGCTAAACTTCGATCGAGGTGTATAAACTTCTTGGCCACCTTGGCAGGGGAGCACATTTTCTCGTCGTCGGAATGGGGCTCATAATTATCAGGGATTGTTCCTCCCCTCCCCACTCGTAGTTTCTCTGCGTACCTGTAACGATTTTCGAGACTCTCTCCCGTCTCTGCGTCCTTACACCGGAGCAGTGCGGACCTGTACAACAGCATGGCCCTGTCGAAGCTCAGTTTGTCCTTGTCGAGTTGCCCTTTCTCCAAGTTCAAGTCTCCAAGACTTTTCAGCGCCTCCACTTCCACCGCCCTGTCCATGTTCGCCATAGCATACAGCAGGACACGGAGGTAGTCTGTCTCGGCACGCGCCAGTCCGAGTTCCAAAGCCTTGGCGTCGGCCTCGCGAAGTTTCTCACAGACTCTCAACATTTTGAACACTGAATGGTTCTGAGAAACACCAGTGAGCTCGTTCACGTTTCGAAATACAATGTGGGTTTCTCTGTCTGCATGTGACGTCATGGTACGTAACTGTATGTTTAATCACTTCTGGTTTCGCGTCGAGAGTAGTATCCACAGCCGAGGACGAGTGATATAATGGGGGCGGTCTTCCACCTGAAGGTGATCGTATCTATATTAATTAAAGTAATATCTAAATATCTATATATTACCTTCAAAGTTATATACCGCTACATGTGCATGGTATGATCCATTAGCACATAGGGAAGGATTAATGAATGAATGAATGAATGAATGAATGAATGAATGAATGAATGAATGAATGAATGAATGAATGAATGAATGAATGAATGAATGAATGAATGAGGACCTTTATTGCATATTTCTGCCACACTTGGCTAAGTACAGGTCACAACAAAACAAGATGAATGGACACGGTTAACAGATACAAAATTAACTAACTATCGTTAATCTTCAAGCATATCTTTTGGTGGGGGAAGACAGTATCCAAGCTTCGGTGGAAAATTGTTACAGGCTGGCCAATTGGATACTGTCTTCCCCCACCGAAAGATCTGCTTGGAGATTAGGGAAGGATGGCAGTTGTATCAATGTCCCAGAACTGTCCGAAAGTGTACATTTCATTATCCATAGCTAATCTTACATGTGACATTCTATCATTATGGTAATCTCAATGTGGGAATTTCCATTTATATCACTACGTTCTATTGTCACGCATGAATGAGCCTCCACTCAGAGCAGTGAGTCTTCAAATGTTCTTGGCAACGCCTACGGAGTGGAGCCGATTGAACTACATGTCATGTAAAGAATGTTTCTCATTTATACCGCTCATGGGCATTGTTTTAGAATCTATCACTGCTTTGGACACAGAGAAGTGGTGATTTCATTCAACGGCTAAAGCTAATATCCAAGCAGATATTGGGACGGAACATTGTAACATTCTCGCTATATACATACGCATTTAGCTGCCCTTCTTTTACGACTTTCAGTATAAACAGAATTATCCCAAAGTTCCGTACGTACTGACATCTGCATAATATTATAAAAATAAAAATTTGATACGTACGTAAATAATTTCATCAGGTTGGTAAACGACTGAATAGCAAAGTTCTTTTTATCACAACCATTTATTTTTCAAGCCAACGTTTCGATGACCTTCTGTCATCTTCATCAGGGCAATTCTGACTGGTTTACTGTGCACTGACACTAGATGTTACTTGGTGCATAGTGCACTAAAGGTGTTACATAGTTCATAGTGCACTTAAGCTTAAGATTAGATACATTACTTTTCTTTTGCTTTCAACATCTTTCCAGGACAGCTAAAGATGGCGGCATGTTGCTCGTGTCAGGACGGGGCCCTGGACCATGAATACGCCTCCAACACGTCCCTTCACGGCCCGGGAAACATCATAAACGCCAAGCGTCCCGCCCACCGGGCTGTCTGGGTCGTGCTGTTCCTGGCGGCTTTTGGCGTGGCCGTGTGGCAGATCTCCGAAAGGTGCCGTATATGTCCTTCTATGGTAAAAGGAAATACCAAATGACCAAAGGTTCTGTCCATTTTTGTCCAAACATGATTGAAAATGAGCACCATTTCATAATGGACTGTACACTATACAATGATAAGCGCCTATTGCTGTGCACTTTTCTTTCCACTTGTTCAACTGATATCAATATGTTAGATCCTTTAGATAAATTCAATTACATTCTCAGGGGAGATAACAAATACAGTACTCAAATAGGAAAATACATTAAAAATGTTTCAATCTTAGAGTCGACTACATGTTAAAGAATAGTTAAACCTTTATTGTTACCACTGATGTATATTCTTCATGTAATTTGCCACATACATATATTCTGTACGTAGGATGAAGTTATCCATACAATCACGTATTTAACTTTGTTAAACCTTTAGTTGTAGAAGACCAGACAAAAGTTCCAGCCTGTACTTTCTGTTGTGTCGAATAAAGAATGTCTATGGTGTGTTTGCCGCCATGTTGGTGGAATGGATTTTTATCCAACATGTCAGCCTGTCGAGTTTTCCACTTTTTATGCTCTTGTTTGTCATTTTGATGTAGATGGACTAACTTTTCCCTTTTCCCAAGACGTCTTCGAAAAAAAAAACTGTATTGGGAGAAGTCTTTGACCGTAACACACCAACATGGCGGACGTTAGATCGCGTCACAGTGGTGAGAGATGACGACGACGAGGACGATCGGTGATGAAGACATGACTTCAAAGACGCTACGTATACTGATGTAGCAGTTGAAATTTATTATGTATTCGGCAAGGTTTTAATTTGTGCAAGAAAATCATTACAAGAAAATTGTCAGAGAAACGAAAATTTAAATGATACTAACGTTTATGATCTTTCATGTTTCCGACAGGTTCGTGGCATATTTCAGCTACAACACCGTGACCAGTGTGAAGGTGGAGTTCAAGGACGAGTTAGACTTTCCCGCCGTCACCATCTGTAACTTTAACAAGTACGTTGTAAATTAATTTATGTTTTGTGATATCTCAAAAGTATCGGTAAATCATTACGATTTTGGCTATGATGAGGCCTAAAGGATTATTTTGATAATACTCAAAAGGAGTATTTTGGAAAAAAATATAGTGGTCATTTAACGTTAAAGTTCTTGAGGAAAAAAAACGGCAAGAAAAATTTCCAGGAAAATCGGGACTCGGTTTCAAATGCTGAAAGGCGTCCAATGAAAATACTTATTACAACAAATTACGTTACGTCATAGTAGAGTCACGTGACCAAATGTAGCCAATGAAAGCAAGAAGTCGATAATGACAACCAATGAAAATTCTCCATTTGTTCCATCAAGGTTCCAGCTCTCCAAGGTGACGCCGAGCGAGCTGAATTACATTACGGAGGTTCTGGACCTCTCGACCGGCTTCGAGGGAGACGACACTGGCGAGTTGGGCTTCGACTACGACGACTACGAAGAGGAGGGCTTCGGGCCTGAGGAGGACGACTACAGGTAGCGTTACCATTCACCAATTTCACACTTCCCATAATGCCTAGTAACGGTCACGGATATGACGTAAGACCACCCCCTCCCTCTTCCTCGATGTAATATTTCCAACAAGTTCTATTGACAAACTGGTCAACTATTGTTTTGAATCATTTCTCTAGTATAAAGCGCATGCCATAATTGCATTTTTGTTGGAATTAGAGAAAATGACGTACCTTCTATCGTTCTACCTTCTTCTTCTCGCACGGTCGCATATTAGGTATATTAGAACGATAGAAGGTCATTTTCTCTAATTCCAACAAAAATGCAATTATGGCATGCGCTTTATATTAGGGAAATAATGCGCGCGTGGACGTCATCCATAAAATTTACTTGGTGTGGCCCTATAATAGTATACCTTTGAAAAGACAGGAAAAGCAATTATCATGCCTTACACACTGCGAACTGACACATGGGATTTACCATTGTTTACAAATGCCAGGTATATCTGACGAAGATTGTCTTGGGCATTTGATGCTTTAGGCGAAGATTATCAGACTTCCTTGGCATGTAGCACTAATGTTTACTAATACTAAGTTGGCACATATCAGGTTACTGGACGTACCAAGCAGATTAACCTGGACTGTCCCTTGCGTTTGTATAAACATGTGTCGCTTTTGATCAGTGATCCCTGTCTATGACACTCCAGGTGTTACCATGGCCAGTAAGCTATACGTGTGATTATGTCCCTGAAAATTTGATATTGGTGACGACTTTCATAACATTTTGGGGTGATAACACCGGTGTACAAATAAAGCAAGATTTACCAAATGCTTTAAACCCACCCAATAAAAGTTACTGTTTAGTGACACCCTTCATCGCATAAAGCAAACACTAGCAGATTTATATTACATGTCGCGAGAAACGTCGATTTGGAAAAATTACAATTTGACCTTGTACATTCTGCACACCACACTTTAGCCTCAACGTCTCAGCCATCCCCTCAAACTTCGACCTAGCGGATTTGACCCTAAATGCAGGGTTTGTGCTGGACGAGACAACTTTGCAAGACTGCAGGTGGAGAGGAAAGAGGTGCTATGCAGATGTGAGTTCACGTGTTACTATCTCTGTGTTCACGTGTTAGTATCTCTGTGTACACGTGTTAGTACCTCTGTGTACACGTGTTAGTATCTCTGTGTAGTCACATGTTAGTATCTCTGTGTTCACGTGTTAGTATCTCTGTGTACAAAAGTATCTCTGTGCTCACGTGTAAGTATCTCTGTGTTCACGTGTTAGTATCTCTGTGTACACGTGTTAGTATCTCTGTGTACACATGTTAGTATCTCTGTGTACACATGTTAGTATCTCTGTGTACACGTGTTAGTATCTCTCTGTGTACACGTGTTAGTATCTCTGTGTACACGGTGACGTGTTAGTATCTCTGTTTACACGTGTTAGTATCTCTGTGTACACATGTTAGTATCTCTGTTTACACGTGTTAGTATCTCTGTGTACACGCGTTAGTATCTCTGTTTACACGTGTTAGTATCTCTGTGGTCACGTGTTAGTATCTCTGTGCCGCGTGTTAGTATCTCTGTGTACACGTGTTAGTATATCTGTGTACACGAGTTAGCATATCTGTGTACACGTGTTAGTATCTCTGTGTATACATGTTCGAATCTCTGCGCACACACGTAACATTTGGCATATCTGTGGGCAAGTATGAGGAATCCATGACAAACATTGAAGACATACAAACACGCATGGCAGAAATATACCACAGTGACATAGAAGGGAGCATGACTTTATAAAAATGAAATACATAACTCTCCGGTACCGTAGTTGGAATGTGAAACTTTCAGTATGATTTCCTCGAATATATTCTGAATTTAAAATCACCTGTTTTGATTATTCTCAGAACTTCACGCATGCGTTCACTTCGTATGGAAACTGCTGGACGTTCAACAGCAACGACGACAAAATCTTGCGGCAAACCATCCCGGGGTCAGGCAACGGGCTGTACCTGGTCATCGACGTGCAGCAGGTCAGAGGGGGTCAGGGGTCATATGAATAAAGGTCAGATTAGGTCAAGGGTCAGGCTGGGTCAATGGTGTGCGAAATCATTGATTCCCCGATGTAAATGTTGGCACACGTCATGTCGAGGGTATATAAGGTAGCAGAAGACAGTTTTCGCCCTAAGGGGATTTCTATAGTTAAGGACCCCAAGATGACTCACTTCGACACGGTAAAAATTATAGTAGGGTGTACTTCACAAATACGAAAATCGAATATGTTTGAGAAGAAGGTACAAACTACAAAATATCTAGAAACCAAAAAAATCCTGTCGGCGTATCTGCTCGTAACGTTCACTTTGAAATCGCCCTCTACGGACGTGACCTGAGCTGCAGCCGACTCACCCGGAAAGCCAGTTGCGCAATACGGCGCATTTATACACGAACTGCATAACCTTCACAATTCAAATCATACAGTCTCAAACCCGATACATTTCTACACCACACAGCGCAATTTACATCTGGCTGACGCTCTTATCAGGCTTTCTACCCAGCCTTCAAGAATATTCGCTGCACTACTTTATATACCCGCGTCACAGACCCGGGGGTCGCCCATACTGTGTGCTGCTACCATATGTGATCGTAGCCGTCATCGGTTAAGCTGAGGTCAAACCGGGGCCCGGCCGGGCTGTTTGTATGAACGAAAAATCAACAAAATTCTCATAAGGAACATACACAAATAGTACTTATGATTATCTTTGAAACTCGTCTTCTGTTTTGTTGTCTTTTTTATAGTACTTTTTCATGGTCAAGGTCAAGATTTCTTCATTTTCATCTTTTTGACCTGCAGGAGCAGTACACAGAGAAACCGCCATCGGGAAACTCTGACGCGGGGCTGAAGTTCCTGGTCCACCCGCTCGCCGAACCGCCCAAGATCGACTCCCAGGGCACGGCCGTCCAGCCCGGGACACATGCGTACGCCAGCATACAGAACATCCTCGTGAGTCTGACTTTCAGCAAATAAATGGTTTTACTGTCCAAACAGTACCCGTGCAGTCGCAGCCTTTGAACGGCTGAATTAATGCAGGGTATCACATAATAATCAATACAAATCACAACAATTACAACAATAAAATAAATTATACAAATGATACTCATATATGTCGCAAGGGTCTGTGCGGCTGCCATTCGGCGCCACAAGGTGACCTCAATACGACTTTCCCCAACCAAAGTTAGGTACCCATTCACACCTGGGTGGATTGAGGAAAGTCGTGTAAAGTGCCTTTCCCAAGGACACAACGTCGGGGGGCATGTTCAGACATGTCCCGGTTACGACTCAGAATCGAACCCGGGTCTCCCGGTTCACAGTCGATTGCTCTAACCACTACACCACCCGACGCTCCCGATCATATAAAGCCTTCGTTATAAACTAATAACTTGGCCAATCAGAGCCGAGAATAGTGCTGACTCAGCAAAAAGATGTTTAGGCAGGTCAGATTTAGCCGTGTAGAAAGGTGTATGTCCTTGGTGCTGAAATACCATCGCAGCGCCCCCTTGCGGATTTTTCTCGTATGGAACTACAGTACGTTTGCCTTTGTATTATTAACACAGTTTTCAGAGCCAGCAAGCAAGACCAAATGCAAGCAGAACCGACAAGTTGACCACGATAGCTATCAGGAAACTCTGTAAATTTTTTTTATTCCAACATGTAATATAATCACCAGACGTGGTGACGACACACTCAAGTTTTTTCAACTTATATTAATGCCGCCACCAACACAGGGGACAAATACATGAACAAGAGTGGGCAATACTCATTTACACCTGAGCTAAGTGAGGAAAGTCGTGTAAAGTGCTTTTCCCAAGGGCACAAGATCAGTGGCATGTCAGGACTCGAACCCGGGACTCTTAGTTCCGAGTCGCGCACTCTGCCGCTACGCCACACGACCACACATCTGTAAATTTGTTACCTGCCTATATATAGCAGGCACACCTTCGGAAGATATTGATTTAAATTGATATTGCTTGCAATTGATTAATTAATTTCATTCATTCACTCACTTATCCATTGATTCATTCCCCAGTACAAGAACGAGATCCCGCCGTGGGGTACGTGTGACCCGACCTGGAGGCTGGATAATTACGACACGTACACGAAGACCGGCTGTCTGCTGGAGTGTCGGGCCGAGTGGGTCAAGAAGGACTGCGGCTGTAGGACAGTCAGCATGCCGGGTAAGTACACGGCAGCCGCCTGTGGAGTACCCTGGAGCCAAAACTAGTATCGAGCCGTTAGCCGTTTTCCTTCGGCAGCCGAGAGCCCTTTGCCCGCCTGCCTAAATTAGCGCTACGGGGGAGTTGAGCCCGAGGGGTTTGTCCGGCCCTAGAATCGTTTGTACGGCCAGCCAAACTCCCCCCGGGCTAGACTCCCCCGTAGCGGTAATTTACACCAGCGGGTGAAGGGCTCTTGCGGCCCGGAAAACGAGTTCTGGATTCCAGGCACGGGGTACCTGTGGGGTCGTGTGGCGGAACGACAGAGCGTTCGGCTCGGAACCAAGAGGTCCCGAATTCGAATCCTGCCATGCCACCGATCTTGTGTACTCTTGGGAATTGGAAATTAAGGCACTTGACACGAATTTCCTCACTTAACTTAGGTGAAAATGAGTATGTCTGTATGTGCTTGAGTGTGCCGTCGCCATGTCTTAGCTTGTAATAAATGTTGGAATAAAAAATAACACCTGTATAACGACGTTACATTTGTGAAAATAAACTATATACGTTGCATGCAGTTGCTTTGAGTTTGATAATACAATGTAGTAGATTATGGCACGTTTTGTTGATGCCTATCTTGTGTTACCCCAGGAAACGCGACGTACTGCTCGCCGACTCAGCTGACTCAATGTGTGAAAACAGTTGTAGGTGAGTATTGAGGCAGAAGACCCAGGCTAGGGGGCTCGTCAAGCGATTCCCCTAATTACCTCCGGGGAAGGAGATATCCTTCCGCGAGGAGGTTTTACTATGGTTCGAAACATTTCTGTCAGCAGCTGTTTCTCGCGATGGGCTGGACGGATTTGTCTGTGGTTCGGTATACGTATTGCTATTGGGCTGCAGATGATGCAGAACATTTTTGTTTAATTGCATATGTGTTTATGGGCGTCGAAATAAAAGGTTTTTAAGTGCTCCGGACACCCCCGCCATGCTGAAAATGGTAATTACCATGTTGTTAAGGAATGGGGCGGTTGCAGTTTTGGGTCTTAGCATTCAAAAGGGGTCAAACAGAGGGGTGTCTGGTTCCGATAAAAATTTTGGGTGACGGCGCAGCAATGACGGCGCGGGATGACGGCGGGGGTAATGGCGCGGGTGACGGTGCAGGCTGTCAGACTGTGAGACACGTTAATCAGCAGTCCATACCGAACCAACCGTCAGTAGCCATCAAACACATACAAACATATTACGCACATAACTTTCATACTACACACAAACAAATAACCTAAACCAATAGAACACAAAAAAACCCGGAGGTTTGAAATCTACGATTTCCCTTGTTTAAAGTTAGAAACGATTTTCCGCTGCTTTTTTTTGTTTGTTTTATTTGCAAACTTCCAAGCTTTTTCCACATCTTGTATGTACCTTTAGGGATTATTTTCTTCGATTTAACATTTTTCTATTTGTCTTTTAATCTTTGGAACATATGGTCAGTCCCTTCCGCCGCTGAAAGCTGATTTCCAACGGAGCCCATGGAAACATAAAACAAGAAAGTAGTATAACATAAAATGATAATTAAACACTAGAATTCCGAGATCTCATACCTCCATGAAATATGATCTTGATATGTAAATGTAAATTTCTTCTTTAATTGTGCAAATGACCTCTGCATTAACATGATATATGCATCGTGATGTATGTTAACTTTTGATTAACTTACAGATGTCCCAAGTATGACATTCTCATCATTCACCATTACGAAATCATAAAATTTTCGCATTAATTATGCAAATTAGGTCATCATTTGCATAATTAGTATCTGTTAAAGTTCCGCCTGCCATAGGTTACATACATTACAACACTGTAATTATAGAATTTCCTCATTAATTATGCAAATAAAGTCCTCATTTGCATAATTTGCATTTAATTATGTACATCTCTCTCTCAGCTACCTACACACCAAAAATAATGAAAATATGTTGTTCCTGTCTGGACTTATTGGCTTTTAAACATTTCGCCAGAAAGTGCCCTGCAGTTCCAGAACAAGCCGCTAGGGGGCCCAAACTCATGACTTCTTCCCAAGCACGAGAGCTACCTTCCATCAAAATTTCATGACCCTAGCATGTCCAGATCGCGAGATATCAAAACCTGAAGTTGCGCTGCAGTACCAAGGGAAGCCACTAGGGGGACCAAAATCTAATCATTTCTAGTTTTTGTCACACCCTACCAACACACCAAGTATGAAACCAATCCATCCAGGCGTTCTTGAGTTATCTTGTTGACCAACAGACAGACAGACGGACGGACAGACACTAGTAAACGCAACTGAAAATATAACCTCCATGACACATTTCATGGAGGTAATAAGAATACAAGACAACAAAGGAACTCGTAAATCATGGTCAAAATACAATTATGATAAACAGTTACATAAACATTACACAACCAACTCGTTCCTTTCATGTCAATTTCTCCTTCCGTACTTCTTTCAATCCTCCTGCCGGTACCGTACCACAGGAAAGCTGGCGGACGGGCGGTACCCGTGCGAATGCCCGACGCCCTGCGTGGCCAACACGTTCCCGACGACCGTGTCGTACGCGGCCTGGCCCAGCATCAGTGCGCAGGACTACTACACCAACCTGTTCAACCACACCGCGGAATACCTGCAGTACGTCTACTTCTAGATAAAACTTATGAAACAAATACATGTAAATTTACCGATCGTAAATAGGCGTCAAATGCAATTTCATATTAGGGCAGTAAAACTGGAGTTTCAAAGTTAATTTCCTGGTCACTCTTTTAATTTAGTAAGTGAAATCAACGTTAACCCTATGCCGAAGCATACTGAAAAATGTGAGTTAAAAATGCGATGTCGCTTACCGAAAACGTGGTTTCATATTGCAGGCTAGCTGGTTCTAGCTGTTTATTGGCATGGCGATACCAAAAATAAAGTACCCCTCACGTAGCTTGTTTTGGGGCTATTTCAAATGTCAGATGAGAAAAGTGCAAGTAATGATAGAAAATGTCAATATCAGACAAATTTCTAGATCTAGAATTTTTTTTTTGCTTTGCTGCCCTGAAATTGCATTAATAAAGTGCATTGGACTTTTTCAGACAGGATTTTCATTTTTCTTCTTTAAATCAAAATAGCATCCATAGCAGCCGCTACTTTGCAGCTATATAACCTAATGACCAAACAATTGACAATGAGTACTTGCATTTTCTAAACCTTCCTTTGTTTTCATTTTTTTCTTCAGGCGTAATTTCGTGGTGATGGATTTGTACTACGCGCAGCTCAACTACCAAGAAGTCATCCAAACGCGCCAGTACACGGTCGGGTCATTCCTGGGTAACATATATATTTTCTGTTTTTGGCCACGCCTCAGGAGCAGTACCGATTGTACTCTTCAATATTGAGCATACGGAAACTTGCAATAACATTAAGTGTACTTTATTTGCAAGTTCATGCCAAAGGTTAATTGCAACACGAAACGAATCATGGTAACAAGTGCAAAATTGACTTTTCTAAGAACTGCTACGGAATAAAATCTAATATTTTTGGGATTCGACTTCCTGTTTTCAATCCATTCATTGATAATTTACGTCCTTGTCCATCCAGCAATTCATACATCTATTCCGTCCATGTTCATTCATTCAATCTCTCCGGATTCAGGTGATTTTGGAGGACAGCTGGGCCTGTTCCTGGGCGCCAGTGTCATCACCATTGCAGAGTTCATAGAGTACATCGTCATGAAGGTCACTCAACCCTGCTCCTCACGGGGCAAGCGCAGAACGGATACGGAAATGACGTCATTAGGAATAGATACGAAGTCTAACCAAAGCTCCCCTCTCAGTTAGCTGGTATATACGTGTATTTACACACGTGATCATGATTTTTATATCGGTCAAAAATCGTATCTATCTTAGCAACGAAATATTTCGTTTAAAAAGAAGTGTCCTTTAATTTGTTATGTTCTTCGTTTATTTTAATCATGTCATAAGGTAATTCATGTTACCTCTAAATTTAAAATACAAACTTCGAAAGTTATGTGTGTCATATATATATTGCGTAATATTCAAAGTACATTGTATAGTTCATTGTAATGAAGGAATGAAATTCAACAAGCTATTCATACAATGCAGTATTCGAACAAAAACACTAAATACAGATGTAGTTCATTTAGTCATTAAAAACATCGTGGTATAGAACAAAAAGTTCAAGGACAGAAGTACACATACGTGTATTATGCCATACATGTATGTTTACTTCTGTCCTTGAACTTTTTCCTTGGCATAACACAACATATACTACATGTATATAGAGCAAAACAGTTGTGGTTTAAGAGCTGCCATACCTCCGAATAACTGACAAGGCCGTCAACAGCAAACATCGACATTCATGCATACTGCAGTATACTACTTCATTGTGGATGAGATAGAAACATTTTGTAGTCATTCAATATTTTGAACAATACAAGTTTGCATTATCTCGTGTATGGCCTATTTATGATAAGGACCGATCTCCAAACTGGGACCAGCCAGGCTGGAACAAAAAAAATAAACAATTTAACATCTGGAATAATGCTCATTTGTGATGTCTTGTTGTCTTTTATATCATACTTTGCGTTCCCACAAACTGCAATACCAGGCTCCTGGTTGAGTATTGTGAGTTTACCATTACAATCAAGTTGTGCCCGGGTCCTGGTCTACAAATCGTACGGTTTTCTTAACTTCTTTATCAGATATTTCGAGTTGGTCCACTTCTTGTACGGTTTTCTTTAGTTCTTGGTTAGACATTTCAGACATTTCGAATTGGTCGATCTCTACTTGTACATCCGGGATATAGTAGGGCGGAGGGTCGTCGGGATACACGTAGGGATTCTCGTGCGCATGCTCAAACATTTCCTCCTGGACAGCCTCTTCTCCTCCCGTGTCCCGCTGGCTGGGTAGGGGCGCCCCCACAGGCGGGGCCTGGAAATGCAGGGTCATGTTTGTTATTTAGGCCACAGCAAGTAATTTCTATGGATGACATCAGCGCGCGCATTAATTTTCGCCTGATTTTGGAAAAAAACAAGAAATTTTGTTGCCTTCTGACAGTGGTCAACATGCCGACAATGGGCAAAGATGTCTGTTGCCATGCCGGAAGGTGGATGGCAGATACCTATGAAGAGTGGAAACAAGAAAAGGCTCTGATTTAACGTTTTGTTTCTTACTTTGATGCAGTGATATGTGATGCTGGCTGTGTATGTACTGTTTCCACTGAATCAAAACCATTTGTACAAAGATTGAGTAAAAATTCGAGAATGTAAATGTAAGAACCTTTTCGGTTTTTTCGGGCCGCCTTGTTTCTTTTTCGCCCGCTCGCATTAGATTTGGAATCTGTAGAGGATGTCATCCATAAAATCTACTTGCTGTGGCCTTACTTACAACGCAAAGTGTAAATGTAAGTCATCATTTCTCTGTTATGATTTTTCCTCGTTATAGCGCACTTCAACATTGAAATCCCAAAAACAACACTATTTGATAGGTAGAAAATATGCACGTTCATTGATGAAATTATGCACTTTCCTTAATTCTATAGAATATAATCCACAAACAAAAAAATCGATAATAACGGCTGTCGAAAAAAAATCACCTTTTGTCTTCGTTTTTTCCAACTTCTGCAACAATCACAAAGGCCCTTGCAGGTAAAACATGTGACGTCACAAGTTGGACAGGTGACGTCACAGGTTGGACAGGTGACGTCACAGCTTGGACAGGTGATGCAACAGGATGGACAGGTGACGTAATAGGTACAGCAGGTGATGAACAAAGCCGCCGCCGCGACCAGCGTGCCTATCGCCAGGCACAGAGCGGCCACGTGGAGCGACCTGGAGAGGTGAAGAAGTGATCGGAATCAGAGTCACATAGCAGCGAGTAAACAAAATGTGATGAATCCCACTTCTGACACCAAGGCTGTGTTTATGTGAAGTCACCCAAACCGGGATTCGGGTAGCTCACATTCCTCACATTTGGTCCACGTGCCATACATTCCCTTTAAAACGTGCCCATTGCTGTTTGATGAAAACACGCTAGGTAGCGTGTCATTATTGTCAGAGGTCAACGACCTAGTTGCTGGTGCCCCCCTCCCAGCGTATCTCGGCTGAATGCCACTACTACTCTTTAAGTTGCTGACACGTAAAATTTGGTATTGCATATAAATAAAGAAATATCATCCCATAAGCCATGACCAAGTGAAGTCACATTGAAATCACATTGCGTCCAGACGCAATTAAATCGCGATGCGGGAAAACCGATTTGAAACCACCTCTAGAAGTGGTTTGGGATCGAGGCACTTTCAATGTGATTTCGGAGCGTTCAGATGGAGCCACTTGAAACCGGCTTCGGGGTAAACCACATGTAAAGCGCCTTGGGTGACTTCACATAAACACGGCCCAAGTTTAATCTTTGGAAATTATGTGAACTTGATTCACACCCTGATGTTATCGTTATGCTGGTTAATCTAGTAGATGTGTAACTAATACTTTATACTTTTCAGGTAGAGATCGAATGTCTTTTCGTATTCAGGTACTTTTTATTTATATATGAACTAGCTTAAGGCAGGAATTAGCCTAGGCAGTGTAGAGTTCTGAGAACGTCATGTAGTTCTTCTAAGTTCTTTCCAAGGTTTGTTATCATATGAGTCAGAAATCATTTTAAAGCTGGTTGATCCTTATAATTTAAGATCACATACTTTCTTTCCCTGCACAGGTTTGTGGGAAGTCTGTTGTTGACGGCTCCAGAGCACGTGGCCACAACTCCCATGATGCCTATAACCAGGGCTGCTATGGCAACGAGACACGTCACGAAACTCAGCGCATGCGCCCAATGTCTCTACAAAAGAGAAGAGAGGAATACATTGAATCTATGGAAAGCAGAAAGAATGTACTCTCAATTTCCGTCTGAAAAAAATCATGAAACAAAGCGGCGGCCATTTTTCCTTTTTAAAAAATTTGATACATCAAACTTACCAGCCATTTGTGGTACGGTGTCTTTCCACTACAAACCGCAAAAAGTCCGGTAGCAATCGCCTCAAAGAAAAGAAAAGAAAAATAGTAACTAGATTTGAGTTCAATGTAACAATGATGTAATATAGCTTCCACCATGTTGGTGGGCGAACACACATGTGAAGTCATTTATGTGAGAAATAGTTGAAACATTTGATTCACTTCACTGCTTTTAATTATAACCTCAACATCTTAGAATTGAGGTTAGGCCACACCAAGTAAATTTTATGGATGACGTCCACGTGCGCATTGATTTTGGCCTGTTCCTAGAAAAAAAAAAGAAATTCCGCTTCCTGTAACTATGACCAAAGAGTCACGATAGTGCCGCAAATAGGTTTGTACGGACCAAAGCTTATAAAGATCAAGCAAAGAAATCATGACTTCCATTAGGAATTCAGTTTGGTACATGCTGCCACATTTGAAGAAACTTGCTGAACGCTCCATCTATCTCAGCACAGGACGACAACTGCTGTTCCACCTGATTTATTGCTGTTTTGATGATGAATAAAAGACTTCTTGCTTGTTACACTGTGTCACCTCATTCAATTTGTGTCCTAACATTTGTCGTCTCTTAGTATATTTCTAATCTAGGCATCTTGTTTTTTAGGGCCCTTCTTGTTTTTTTCGCCCTCTCGTATTAGATTTAGGGTCTCCAAAGGACGTCATCCATAAAATTTACTTGGTGTGGCCTAACCTCAACGTCTTAGAATTGAGGTTATGCAACATCTTAGAATTGAGGTTAAGTAGGGAAGTTACAAAATTTAGAATCAACGGACAGTCTTACCATACACCCGCTCCAGATGGGCGCCAGAAGCCCGTGAAATTGCGACTTGTGCAGGTACTCCGCGGAGCTGCCTAGCAGTACTGCCGCTAGACCCTGTAGTAAAAGCGCCACGCCAAACCCAAGCATCAACCTGGTGGTGCGAGTTGCCATATCTCTTGGAGCCGCCAGATGTCGCACTTGTGTTGTTTTATCTGTTCACAAGAAACTTGTCCAACCAGCGACTGCCTGTTATGTAGCAGTAGTGGTAGCTTATCAAAAGTTTAGTTGAAAATGTGGTACATCAAATACGGAAATGAGCTACGTACACTTTTTAGACGTCAGAAAAATGCATAAAGAGCAGGCATTGGATGTGAAAACTGGCTGTATAAATAAAAAGATGTTTTCCTAGACTAAGTCGAATGATTGGGAGAAAGCTCTGCTGTTACGGTGCATTAAGTAGGGTGGGGCATGACTAGCTTGCTAAGCGTGGGAAAATCGTGCCCTACAATTAACCAGCACCAGTTTGGAACAATGAGACTACGTCACCATGCATTGGACAAAAACACTGTCCAAAATGTCTACCCGTGAGGTTGTGGGTATACATGGAATATGCTATGAATAAGTTCTGTTTTAACTTTTTTTAAGCATTTTGGCGTTGGACTACGCGATACGGAGAACTAAAAAAAATAAAAGTCAACAATGCTTAACAATGGGTTCTTCACGTAGCATTTACGCATTTACACATATTCTGATGTTAAAAATTACAAGCATGCAAGTTGTGACAGAACCAATGAAGGTAGACCAGAATTTCAGACAAACAGCATCGACAGTAACAAGACAGGTGAATTTTGTATTGTACGGCACATGCAGGACTCAGTGTCCCGAGAATGTCTGAGTTTGCTAGCCTGGTATCCAGTCTTACGTGATTGGGGGTATTGGGGTGTTCAGGCAGGTTGTGTCTTCGGGGGCTCTAATAGCTTCCCCCGCCCAGTGCAACAGACCGTCCCGGTAAGAGAGTTACGCTGTGGAGGGCTAATCAATCTCTCGTGAAATACACACCGGGAAACCTATGTGAGGCGGGCGGGACAGAGCTCTTTCGGCCCCGACCACGATCAGACTGGATACCAGGCTAGAGTTTGCGAACGTACGAAGAATATGTTCAGGCCCTTACCTTGTGTATGTCCGCTTTAAAACTGTTTACTGGTGCCTTAAACAGATTGTTGTATTCGGTAGAAGACTTGGCCGAATTGTGAGGGAGAACGTTGCTCGTATACCGTGACCGGAGCTCCGGATCCTCTGTCATGTCGGTAACCGGGTGGGATTTGTTAACCTTGGCGTAGGGGTCATGAAAGGTCACTGACGTACGTACACTGACGTAGTATGCTACATGAATGGGCTATCATTAATGAGAAGTTAAGAATCATGAAATGGCAAAGATTAATGTTCAACATACATTAATATTTGTTTATTAAAATTTTGCAGCACATGCATGGAGGGGGAGGGAGAACAGGTGGGTCACCTCTACCAGCTCCCTCCCCTAATTACATCAATAAAAAACAGTATAAAACAGCATTGGATTTAAACACATTATGAAAGCAATACATAAACATACATACAAGAATATGGACATATAATAAATTAGATATCATTCTACGTAAATGTCAGCGCGGTCTTAACGCTATACATGTCCCACACCTGCAAGCCGCAGACCATGTACATATGTTGTCTGTGTCAAAGACATATTGCTTCGGACATAAACATTTTCGTCTCAAAGGCACATCTTTGATAAAAGCACCCTTACAGCGGACACCAGTAGCCGCGGTTCCACTTTAATATATCCATATGTTGAAGTGGTTGAAGACATATATGACATGTAAAAGGTAGGGAAGGCTAAGGACAGATCGTGGCATGTTGGTATAAGAGTTTCCATTAAGAACTAGTTACTATACTCCCCCAAAGCGTTAGAGAACTGCAGATCTAAAATGACCCTCTTGGGGGAGCTTCTACTTGATCCAGAATCAGAAAACAACAAAACATCAGCAATAACGCCCAAGGGCACATGCACCACCATCTAACAGACTTTCGCACGGGTCACTGTGTAAGAATAGCGAAGTCCGTGCACTTACGCCACACTTTTTAATCACAGACTAAAGTGTTATGAAAATTCAAGAATTATAGCCTCTACCAGGCTCAAGAAGCGACGGGGCAGAGTAGACACCAGGCTTCAGAGGCGGCGAAGGAAAGAGTACATATTGGACAAACAGACAGACAACATGCCAGGCAGGGGAGTTGGTCCGCGAAAGCAGTACAGTTTGCCACTCTGAATTGGGCTAACTCCCCTGGCATGTTATCTGTCTATTTGGCCAATATGTACTCTTTCCTTCGCCACCTCTGTAGCCTGAAGTGGGCTACGTGAATGGTTCCGTTCCGTTTGTTTTGTTGATTTGTGGACAGAATAACTCGAAATCTTAAAGAACTAATTCTAATGACTTTTAGACTATAGCTAGAATGTACGCTATGAAACAAGCTCTGATTGTTTATTCCGGCGTAGCTGAAAACAGCCACATTAAATGAGGATTTTTCAAGAATGTCTGGATACCTGGATATCTCAAGCTTTTTTGCATACCTCTCGGATTACTAATGTTGCGTTAGAAGATCTCTTCAAGCCCCCCTCCGTTTTTTAGTGTGGTGGCTTTATAGCACGTGTACGTTGACGTTACCTACAGTCTATTCTGCCAAAAAAAAACGAGAAAAAAATTTTATGCCAAAATATTGGATCTGTCAGAAGAATGAACCAGGTCTGCTCAACATCAGGCAATCCCCGAGGCCTGTTTCTTTCGCACGGGAGCCGTTTTGAGTGAAAGGCGCCACAGGCAAAGCTTCACGACCTTTCACCTACGACGGACAAAACTAGTTTGACAACATCTGTCTATACTTACGACATACTAAAGCACTACAAAACAGGTCACGCAAGAAACGTTTTTGCATTGCTCGTATACCTACCGTTTAGACTAGTTTTGTTTCTCCTGACTCGTTTGCCTGTTTTATTTGGTGTTTCAGCATCCTTCAGCACAGTCCATAACAGGTAAGTTTATGTGTGTGAGTGTGTATGTGCACGATACGAAGGGGTGGGTTCGGACGTTATTGTTACAACAACGTATGGAATGTTTTGGGGGCGTTTTTCAAATGACAGGCGTGCGTTTCTTAATTAGATTAACCAGGTAGGTGTTGAGAAACCATATTGTACATGTTTGTATACCTATATCTATGGGTTTCATACCTACTTGTAATATATCGGCAAGGAAGTATACATACAAAAATTCCGCATCGTTTGAGAAGATTTGATATCCATAAAACTACCAGACTGAAAAGATATTTCTGTCCTGCGGCACAAATATACTGACTTCAAATCTGGGTCGACTGTTGATTGAATATTAAACCTAAAGTGAGTGAGATACATTTGATAAGTACTGTAGACAACAGATATATGTTGACTAAGTGTAAAGCGTACGTAGTGGTGGTATAAACGCCTGAAAGTCGTAAGCAGCCCTGACCTCCAGGTACCCCTTGGTATTTGACAAGCAAACTGACCTTAAATGACTTACATAACGTTATATAATGGTGGAAACTGTTTTCACTGACTTATGTGTATACAATGTACTTACTTACTGTGTATTGCAATGGTTTATTGCAATGGTTAATGGATCCATGGATTAAAGACATTCAATGCCATTTTAGGGCGACAAAACAAGACATTCTGGATGAAGAAATCTGTCTGATGTTGACATTAACTGCCATTTCTTTGTACATTTTCGTCATTTTCTTTTTTAAGCGTTTGAAATAGCATAAAACAAGCCACGTGATCATGAGGAGTCCCTTTATTTTGGGGTACCACCCATAAATAGCTAGAACCAGCCAACGACACAAAACAAGCAACCGTTTTCCATCAATGGTATCGCATTTGTGCCTCACAGATATCAGTATGCTATGTAATAGGGTTGATTCAACATACTACATTGAAAGAATTACAAGAAAATTGACTTTTAAACCCAACTTTGCCACATTAAAATTGCATTGGGTGTCATTGGGTGAATCATTATAATGTGAAAGTTGTATGCTCTTGGTCTTTTGGACTTTCTAGATAAATATGCATGATAGAAACAAGTTATTAAAACAAGAAGGTTTCAAAAAACTGCTCCCTAATATAAGGTTAACTTTATATCAACCCTATGACGTCTATATACTATTCTGTAAGTTATAGCACCGTGAGTCCGTGACCAGTATTCCTGACCAATGAGTAGCCAGGGTAAGATTTACTGGCCAATCAGCTGTCAGTCCAAAACTCACCGGGATGCAACAAAATACGGCTGACCAATCATCTTCCAGAATAAGGCTTATTGACCAATCAGCTGACTTGCCAAGTTGTATTGGCCTGGGTACACTATTCTGTAATTTATAGTACCGTTACGCGTTTCCTCAGTCGGCCGATAGATGGCGCTGCTGCAGCAGAGGACGCTGGTGCCCCTGGGACTGGCCCTCCTGGCGCTGGCCGGCCTCAGCATCATCTTCGGTATCACCGCCGAGGCCATCCAGGGCGGCGCCGCCAACAGACACAAGTTTACCTACAAGTCCTCCCCGCTCTACTACTCACCCATCTGGGCAGGAATACTGGTGGGTTTTGTTCTGTTTACCGAAAGGAAAACGTATTGTTTTTGTTCTGTTTCCTCTTCTTCTTTTTCCTCTCCAAACAAACAAGGTCAATGACCTGAACCAGGCGTCTGTCACCATGGTAACTAGTGTTGGGTTACATCATGTTGCAATTTTATAGCAGTAGGGATTTAAACTCCTGTCACCATATATATATGAATGTGTTTGAGTAAGAATTAACAGAGCAGACCATATGCAAAGGTAAACATTATGCATTTGCTTTGCAAATGTTTGGTACCTTTCTAGTTTGTTCATCTGTTTGTCTACAAACAATATCATTTTATAAGAGCAAGGGTCAATTTCCTTACTAACGTCTCGATTCGGCAGTCCCAAACACACAGTTTAAGAGCGAAGATATGATTGTATAATTTTTTATGCACTTCATTTATTAATGTCGACTTTTTTTTATATATTCAGAAAATACATTCACCGTAACCCATGGCCAACTGACATGTATATACTAGTACATCTTCTAGTAACGTACAGTTAACGATTTTACTTGTCAAAAGGACCCTGATACTGTTCTTTCTATCATATATATATATATATATAACTTTATATGTCTATGCCAGAGTTTTATTATGCACACGCGGATTGACTTTTTGTAGTTCGGTGCTTCTGGGGGCGACACCCAGTAATGTTCCTCATACTAAATATTGCTTTTATCTGTTTTGTCATTTTAACAATTTTAGATATTTTAAGCGAATTAATAATGATCTGCCAATTTGTACACGAGTCTGTCACTCGGTTGGGTTAAGGCGGCCTAGGCTGATATTCATGTTCGAGTTCGGACGTGTGTCTGCACTTATTGCCACAAACATGTTTCGAACCCGAATCATGTTCCACCATGTTCGATATGACGTCATTCGAATAGAACGCGTGTTCGAATTCGGGGTTACCGGCGGTCATTTGTATGTTTCCCCTGTAAACCCGCGTTGTTACGCATTTCATTCACGGAGTATGACTTAAACGGTTTTATGCGCAGCTGAAAACAACATAATTCATCTTTAGAGTAATCCATCACTTTTTTATCAAAATTGTCCGAGGCTATTTTGCATATAAGTCGAAATTTTTTAACTGTGGCGATTTTTTAACGAAAAATGACAGAAAAATAGCCGTTTCTGTCGTTTTTGGCCCAAAAAAACAACGTAACTGTCATTTAAAACAAAATAGCCTCGGACAAAAATAATAAATAGGGGGTTGGCTTTCTACTTGTAAAATATCATGATGAAAGGTGTTGTTACCGCTTGCGCGTAAAGCCATGAAGTAAACAGCCTTTTTTTACCAAAATGTTGGTTTTTAACCCAAAAATCCAGAAGTAATAAAAACAAAATAACCTTTATTCCATGTGTTTCAAGTACTACTAGAACTGTGTGAAGTTAAGTTGTGGTGCGACCAAGCTATCAAAAGTTACAGCCATATGTATGAATTACTAATCATAGTTGGCCATAGGCTGCCTTAACCCAACCGAGCAATTCAGCCTGTTGGCTGCCATGTGACTTGTCTTTGATTTTAATAATAAACCAGTCTACTACTACTACTACTAACGTATTTTTGTCTTCAGATAATCTTCACAGGTCTGGTGTCCATTTCGAGTGGGAAGGACCGCTTCGGTGTCTTTAAGGTGAGTATCCACTAGGACACATGTCGGCAAAACTTCCCTATCGTTAAAAGCTAGCTACATGAGACTTCTATGTCTAACAGTAATAGTGACATTCGCAAGTAAAATTTCAAGTAAAGTCAGTAAAAATGTTTTAATACCAAAATGTGCCACAGTCCTATACTTACGTCTTAAAGCAAAGCGTAACTACCAACAGCCAAAGCGCCTTTACAACCAGGAGTGTGTTGCCACATCAAAACTTGTTATCAAACAGCATTGATATGCAAATTCCTTTGTTATATTCCTTTGTTATTTCCTTGATTTGTTTTTGTATTATTGCCTTTATTACTATGAGTTGTGGCTCTTGGTTTGACAAGTTTGCTTTATTACCACCTTACTGAGTTGCGGCATTATATAGTACTTTTACTTTTATTTGTACTAAGTTGACTTTAATTTGTACTTATAAGTTGACTTATCATTTTGTTATATCTGTTATTTTCTTGTATATTTTATTTATGTATGCCTGCAGGACACATTGAAAAACGCCTTAGTGGCGATATGTACACCCTGGGTAAACAAATAAAAACAAACAAACAAAGGCTAGGAAAGAAAAGGCTGGCCCTAAGATGTATTCGTAAAATTCGAAACAAAATGGCTAACCCATGACGTCATAGTCAAAATGGTGGCTCCCACTTTCCAAAGAGTAAAGCAGAATAGATGAGCTTCCCAAACCTGTAAATTTTGTGGAACAGAGCACGAAATTCATTTGTGGGAATAGGTGCACTGGTGCAACCAACCTAAAAAGATTGGGTGCACCATATCAAATAAAGAGTAGAATGTCAGTGAAAACGATTATTTTTTTCCGAGACGTGGATGTTATAAACTTAGCATGCTTAGTATGCTGTATACTATTATACATTGAACATCTGGGTGTCTCAGAAAAAATTGGGTGCACAGCTCGAAATTTGGGTGCACTAAGGTGCACGTGCACCTAGTATTTTAATGTTAACCGAAGGAAAACATATTGTTTTTGCTCAGTTTCTTCCTCTTCTCCAAACAGTGACCTCTGACCTGACCAATGACATGATTTGTTGACGTCTGTCACCATGGTGACTGGTGCTGGGTTACATAATGTTGCAATTTCATGGTCTGCTCTGCTCCTGTCACCATATACTAGTAGTACATGTATGTGAATGTGTTTGTGTAAGAATTAACAGAGCAGACCATGTCCGAAGGTAAACATTATGCATTTGCTTTGCAAATGTTACTTCTCTAGTTATTAATGGCTTACAAATGTTACATTTTGCCCCCTTTCTCCAGCTCTCCATGGTCCTGACCCTGTCTACCGTGGCGTATGTGGCCGCCCTGGCCGCCTTCCTGATCGCCACGGTAGCGCTGGCCTTCATCCCTCACGAGTACCCGTACTACTGCCTCCGCGGGTTTAACGATCTGGCCCGCAGCGGGGCATACTCGGATAGGCTCTGCGCAGGAATGAAGGTAACAAACGTCACGAACAACATTCCCTGGCCTCTGTTTTATGTGTTCAGCCAATATACAGCCAATATACAGAAAGGTACTTTACACGACTTTCCTCACTTCACTCAGGTGAAAACGAGTACCTGGCTTCGGTTAGGGGCGTCTTATCGAATGGGACGTTAAAATGGAGGTCCCGTATTTGAGGAGAGACACACCTCAAGCACGTTAAAGAAACCACGTGAGCGGAAGTGGAACAAACCATTATGGTCTAAAAAGGGGTAGGGGATTTTCCCGACCAGCCTCGTAACCCCTGTTTCTCCTATTGGGTCAGTTAGTCCTCACTACTTGTGAGAAATTGGGCTGGTCTCAATCATGATGTTTCTGACTCAGGGAGAAGAGTTGCTGTTACAGTTCTATACCTCTAGCTCTATGCCTAGAAGTGGCCAAAAATGGCATTGTATTGAGCGACACCGTTAAAAAAATATGGATGAATCAGTTCTTATTTCACTCATAAAAATATATTGGTGTGTAGCTTTCATGCCAACATGAACTAAAAGTTTTGCTTTATACTGATTTATAGTACTGTATCAATTTATAATATCTTAATAGCTTAACTCCTGTTTCTTGTTATCTTGACGTTACCCATGTGACGTTGTTTTGTCATGCGTTGTAATTTTTACTTTATGTCTAGTGGTAACGTGAATATACATGCAAGCCATATCGCTTGAATGCGTCACCATTATGTATTGTATTGTTTGTACGTTGAAAAAAAAGATTTTTGGTTCATTCTAACGGCTCCACTCTTGTGGCCTCGCCAAAAATAATGCTGAATAGTCATAGCCTACCATGTAGTAAACTATGTGATGATGAGTACCTTATTTAAGAGGTTACATTTTCCTGTTTAGGGAATGATGGGCCTGGCCCTGATACTGGCCATACTGGAGTTGGTCATCATCCTCCTGATCATGTTCATCACCTGTAAACTGCTTCGCGAAAAGGACCAATGGGCTGCAAAGGTAAGGATTATTGACCAATGAGCAGCCAGGGTAAGAGATACTGGCCAATCAGCTGTCAGTCTAAAAATCACTCGGATGCGACAATAAGGCTGACCAATCAACGTCCAGAATAAGGCTCACTGACCAATCAGCTGCTAGGGGAATACTTGCTGGCCTATCAGCTGCCAGTAGAAGACTTGCTGACCTATCAGCTGCCGAGTTGGGCTTTACTGACCAATCAGCTGCCAGAATAAGGCTAACCGACCAACATGCGTTCTTCTTGCAATAGTTCTTTTGGGAAGGCTTGGCATTTCAAAACTACTGCATCATTCTGGTTATATAATCAACATTCAATGACTTCTGTATTACATATGTATACTATTATGCTCTTTTCAGCAACGAACGACGAGGATGGCACCTCAACCTGATGGAATGGTGATCCTGACGCAGTGTAAGTCTCCACTCAGTCATGCCACCTAGCACAAGCAGCTAGAACTGCAACCTCAAATTAAAAAAAAAAATCTGTTGTAACATGAAGGTACACACTACAAACGTATTGCCTTTTACTACCTATAATTTATAAGCACATGTTGTGATGATACAGTGGACAATGCATTTTAGCTCTTTGCTTTTTAGCATAAAATTCCAATATAGATTAGCTCTCAGATGAAAGGCTGATCACTAAGAACAAACATGTAGTTTCTGTAATCTAAACATGTCTTCCTCTTTTATCACAGATCCAGACCCCAAACCCCCCAATGGAAACAAGACTGCTGGCTATGACAATGGTACATACAGTGCCCCCTAGCAATGTCCTGATGCAGTGCAAGTAAATAAGAATTGTGTTGATACTAGTATACAAAACAGGATATCAACAGGATATGATGGACTACATTCAGAAATTGTGTGCACATGTGGCAGAAGATATTTTTTTCACAAATGTACTAAGCTACAGATTACTGTTATAAACATAAATGTATGTACCCTCAAAATATCTAAGCAAAAAAAATGTTTGTAATTCCAACAGTACACTAAGACATACCGCCACATTAACAAAACAATGGTGAATTTAAGGAGATTTAGTACATTTAAAGCATCAGTAATCTGTAAGGTATCCACATTTCAGCTATCCAGGTGTTAAAGACATTGTTGAGGTCCCTATTCTTTTTTTAATTAATGTGGTTGCCTATAAATTATGAGAGTTAACATGACATCTTACCAAATAGTAAGTCATATCTGGTAAGAGGACCTATAATATAATATGCTGTCAAAGCCTAGCATGGAATACGCCACATACATGTATGGTGTATCAATTCCATTGACTGCTGACGAGAATTGGTGATGTTTCGGGAAATTTGGTTATAATTCGTTCTGGCAAAATGTATCATTATAATTCCTAGCTAGCTCTAAACCAGTCAGATCAGGCAGGCTACTGGTACATAGATAATGCACATCCCAATCCTACCTCCAGTGTTCTGTTCTGGTCATTTTTCTGAGTTTCTGAAGCTAAGGCCACACCAATTTAATTTCTTGGTTAACGGATTTTTCTAGAAAAATAATGGAGCGGGCGGGCGAAAAAATGAAAAATAAAAACAGGCCTAGGCATCCTATAATGGCCCAAAATGGTACGATAGAAGCCATTAAGTCAACACACCAGGCTGGTTCAAAATTTAAACAATGAATTTTGAACTTTTAATGATACCATTGCATTGAAAGATGGAATAACTGTAACAACTAGGATGAAAAGGATTGTTTTCAACTGTTCAGGGCAAAATATGAGCATTTTGCAGTCGATTCTGAATTTTTATTTTTATTTCCAAATCAGAAAAAAATGAAGCGGGCGAATCCGTTAACCAAGAAATTAAATTGGTGTGGCCTAATGCACATCCCAATCCTACCTCCAGAGTTCTGCTCTGGTCATTTTCATTTTCAGTTTCTGAAGCTAAAATAGGGGTCACACCAGGCTACAAGATGTGCAAGGTGTGGGGACACAATTAACTTTATTGCCTGAATCAACAGGTACATGTAACAAAAGTAGGGAACTAAGGGATGGTACCTAAATACTCATTACCGGTATTACCTAATTGTAATGTCCATAATAAGAGACTATTATGTTAGTTATTAGTTACACTGGCTGCTCAATAAAGTTATCCCAACCCACTTTTCTGTTATCTTGATATGAGCTTCGTCTCTTTCGCAGATCTCAGTGTCTCTTTCACAGATTTCAGCCTCTTACAATAAGCGGAGTTGAAGTAAAGCTTCAAACTTTATATGACACACAGGGGGAGATTACCATGCTTTTCCTATGTTCTGGTATAATTTCTATTTGCATTGTTTAAAGTTAAGATATTTAGGCCACAGCAAGTAATTTTATGGATGACATCAGCGTGCGCATTACTTTTCGGCAGATTTTGAAAGAAAAAAAATTTGTTGCCTTCTGACAGTGGTCAACATGCCGAAAATGGGCAAAGATGTCTGCTGCCATGCCGGAAGGTGGAGAAAAGGAAAGGCTCTGATTTAATGTTTTGTTTCTTACTTTGTTGCAGTGACATGTGATGCTGGCTGTGTATATGTGATGTTCCCACTGAATCAAAACCATTTGTGCAATGATTGAGTCAAAATTTTAAAATGTAGGAACCTTGTTTTTTTCGGCCCATCTTCTTGTTTTTTTTCCACCCGCTCGCATTAGATTTGGAGTCTGCGGGGGATGTCATCCATAAAATTTACTTGCTGTGGCCTTACTTGAAAACCCACATTTCCTCAATTTCTAATTAATTCAGATGACTTGGATTTCAGCTATAATTCACTTAAATGTGACACTTTATTTTAGACACATCTGAAACACACAGGAGACTTTTTATCCACATTAATAATGTGAAATTTTATTAACAATTACCTTTGACTATCATCTTGAATCAAGCCTGGAAACAAACTGTATCTAGAGGATGTAAAAACTGTTCTTTACAAAGTTAACCAAAATAACTATTAGTGGTGTACACAAGTAACTCGTATCTGGTTACTTATGAATTACTGAACTATTACTGAACCTGTTAAGAGTTAATACAAATAATATTTCTGTTACATGTAGTTACTGAGGATGTATATTACTGAAGACACTCACTACAATGTATATATTGCCAATGAATGTGTTGCACAATGAAAAAAATTATGTCTACTTCTGACAAAAGGCTCTGCCCTTGAGGCATTGCCAAAAAATAATGGCCCACCTTGACCAATAAATGATCACTTTCAATGATTTAATCTTTTGTACCCCCTTTTCCATGACCTTGTACGAACCATGTGACTCAGAGCCAATCAGAACTCTCCACTACATTTCAAATATCAGTGAAATCAATGTGAATCCAAGAATGGATGGAAACCTTGCAAAGACTATCTTCCACGACAAATGTTAGAACCTTGTATTCTAAGCGAGTTATACCCCATGTTGTTCAGAGTGCAACACATTCAGAGTCTAATGCATAACAGTTACATGAGCATTATTACTATTGTTTCTGTATATTCCTATAAAGTACATGTCAACAAACAACTTAGCCCATACAGTAGAAGTATGGGTAAAGAAAACAATTTCGGAAGTTCTTTTATTCTGACTTAAAACAACAAAATATTGGAATGATAAAAGCAGATCTTCATAAATGCTCCCTTGTCACTTTACTTACGGTTTTCACTTATATCTGTACTAAAAGGGGGTCATTTTGTCTCTTCAAAGAGTACTAGTAACTTCCCATCTCCCTAACATAGTCCTTTGACAGATAAGTTTCTTTCTACATACTACCTTAAGTCACAGTGAAACTGTCAAATCCACGGAATGAGAGAAACTATCAGTATCTAAGTTTACAAATTGAGAAGAACCTTTCCTTTTTGACATTTAAATGTTTAAATGCATTTGCCCCTTCTTTGTGGGTCAGACTAGACGATCAGATACACGACAGCTTTGAGAGGTTGAAACAGCAAGTTTTGAAACTGCAGCAATCCATACTAGGGTTATGTGACTTATTTGACTCTACTATGTAAAAGTGGCTCAAGAACATACTACAGGTGGTACCACTTTCACAGAGGGGTGTTGGGGGCGGGCGGAGAAGACTGGGATGTTGAAGTACAAGTAAGTGTTCAGCTTCTGCCCCCTGTTTGTTGTTGGAACACGTCAATGGTATCTCCGTCATCCATCTCCAGCTACAGTGGGAAATACACAATGTTTTACATCCATAAACAGTTTCATCAGGTTTGTCAAACAGGACTCAAAAATACTTGCACTGATACAGGAAACAAAAAATCACATACACTAGACAAATTTCACCTGCACTATCCAGAATTTTGGAAGTATGGATCATACAAAAATCAATCAGAAACCATTTTTATTATTCTGTAAAACTAAAAGTCAATGCAGGAAATAACAAGGAGAAGTCGTAGACATCGTCCCTCCATGAAATAGCTTGTTATTTTGTAATCTTTTGGTGTATTTTAATAGAGATATTATGAGTCAAACTTTGTTTTTATCAGCAGAATGATAGATGTCTACAGGGACCTCCCTAAACAATGGAGCAGTGGAGCTCCTCCACCCAGTCCTTATCTCAGCTCCACTCTGTTAATTTTCAAAACTAGTGTTTTTACACCCTTTTCCAGGGTTCTTTGGTCAAATTTACCGATATTTCGCACCCTCCTCCATTCTGTCCTAAATTTCTGGGGAGATCCCTGGTCTATAGATGTCTATCCTTTAAGAATTTTGTTGTGGCACTTCATATTGGAAGGGGTTGCCCAAGCTGTCATGTGCAGGCGTTTAGTGTCTTGTTACCATGGTTTGTTTGAGGTCAATGACCTCTCAAGCACCACAGATGACTCAGTTCCCTGCTGAATGACCGATTAAAGATAAGATATATTTCCTGCAGACGTCTAGAGGTAAAAATAGATTGGCCTGACCTGCCAGCTGGAGGTATAAACAAAAACACTCTGTACCAATTTGGGGTCAAACAGACCATCCTATTATGAAATAGGGGTGAAAATGTGAAAATCCTTTTAAATAAGCAATGCAAATCTACGACAACCTGCTAATGCACGCTAAAACGCAAAGACAATCAGCGTCTACCCACATACCAAAAATGATCGCCAACCATCCACCGGGTTCTGAGATCATTCAACGCAAACAATCTGACATTGAGATAGCAATTCCGGTTCAAAGCAAACAGCTAGGGGGCCCAAATTTACATCACTAAACCATTGTAACCACAACTACATGCTACCTTAGCATCGCACACACGGACCATAACGTGCCAACAATAGAATAAAAAAATTAAACTGCAGTACCAAGGTCAATCACCAGGTGCTCAAAGTCAACCTACACAATCTCCAAGGCCCCATCCATCAATCTGCCAAATATCATACAGTTCCTTCTCACCGATCTTCAGATATCAGACCAAACATGAAACGGAGTAAAAACAATACCCCCCATTTACATGGAGGGTAAAAACCTACATACATACAGTACATGGACCAGTCACACTAACCTGTATATTTTGAGCCAAGTACATCAATAGCTACAATTTAGTTCTTACTATTATTGAGGAAGTTTAGAAGAACATGCTAATTTCTCAAATTTTTCAGGTACAGGTACAGGTACAGATCTGTACCTAAATCTCCACACCGGTTCCTGTACCTGATGTTATGTTTAGGTATGCAGCCCTACCATTGACTGTTACCACCTATGAAACAAAAAATAAACAAGAGTTCCACGATCTCATACCTTCGCCAAATGATGTTAACCCTTGCGGGTGACGAATTATACAATTTTAATCATTGATTTTGTAAATAAGAGCCTCATTCGCATGGATTATATCAGTTGATCATATTCTCCATCCAATGACGGCCTTATCATAACAAAAAGGCTATTATAGCACTTCCTCATAAATTATGCAAATGAGGTCATGATTTGTATAAATTATGTTTATTGATGTTCACCTTCACTTAACTTCCAAATGTGGCAAGTATGAAATTCGGGGTGCAGCAGTTACAACTATGGAATTATAAGAATTTGCCATTAATTATGCAAATTAGGTCCTCATTTACATAATCTATATCCTCAGATGTTTTTCTCGTTCTCAAGTAGATGTCACAAGTGTTTCATAGTTCTATTATTGAACAAAGCAGATTTATAGAATTTCCTCATTAATTATGCAAATTAAGTCCTGATTTGCATAATTGCCATCTGATTATGTCAAGCACCACTTCAACTACCTACATACCAAAAATCACGACAATACGTCAACCGGTTCTTGAGTTATCGTCCTTCGAATTTTTTTCAACAAATGCTCCTGCAGTTCCAGATCAAGGCGCTAGGGGACCCAAACTCATGTCACTTCTTCTCTATCCCAAGAGCTATCTGCCATCCAAAATTCGTGACCCTTGCATGTCCAAATCACGAGATATCAAAACCGGAAGTTCTGCTGCAGTACCTAGGAAAGCCGCCAGGGGGCCCAAAATCTAATCATTTCTAGGTCTCATGAAGACCTACCCACCTACCAAGTTTCATTCCAATCCATCTACTGCTTCTTGAGTTATCTTGCTAAACCACACACACACACACAAACACACACACAGACAAACGCTACTGAAAACATAACCTTCTTGGCGAAGGTAATAATGGCAGTTTGTAGTATGATCCATACTCCATACATTCTAAGTGGTAAAATTTGTCTGGTACAGGTTAAGTTTCCATGCAGTAAAAAAATATATATTTTGAGCCCTGAAGGCTACGGCAGAGACACTACAACCAGAACTCAGTGATAAACGGCTTGCACAAATACTTCTAATCTATCAGTAGCACACCAGCACTTGTTCGACAGGATTGTTTGTCTGTTTTTTAAATAATTATATATTGTGACTATGTTATAGATGTAGATGTTGTTTTGTGACTCTGTCAACTATGTAGGTATATATGTATTGTATGCATACCAATGTATGTATACAATGTATGTATGTATGTAAGAATGAATGCCAGGAAGACTAGTATGTATGTAAGAATGAATGCCAGAATGGTTATTCAAATAAAGTTTCAAAGTTTCAAATGGATGGTGGCTTACCACATTGGGCGTGTCGTTCTCGTTGATGGGATTCCCGTCGAATCTGAACCGCACGCCTTCAGGTCGCACTCCCTGGGAACACAACACAGACATGACGGGGTTGTGGAAGCTAGTTTATACTGAAAAAGCAGGGCTCAAAATTTATTTTTCGGAATAGGTGCACTGGTGCACCCAACCAAAAATCATGTAAAACAAAACATCTGAAATGGGAGCTAACTTCAAAATCTTACACAATTACTACAAGAAAGATTTTATTGTTTTTCTGACACTTAGATGCCAAGGATATCCTGTATATTATTATATATACAAAAATACCTACAAAAACATATGGGTGCACTGGTGCGGCCAAAGAAAAAAATTGGGTGCACAGCTCCAATTTTGGGTGCACATGCACCCAGTATTTCGAGCCCTGATTATACAGTTGATATGTACAAAAATACCTACAAAAATATTTGGGTGCACCAGTGCACAGAAAAAAAACGGGTGCACAGCTCCAATTTTGGGCGCTCTAAAGTGCACATGCACAAGTAATTATAAGCTACACAGCAAAACCAGGAAAACAAGTTTATTTTTCAAAAGAGTTTGTCAGTTAAGGGGGGAATGTAAAACACAGAAGTGAAGGAAGGCTTTAGGTATCTCTGTAGAACTATGAGATCATCTTAAGATTTAAGATGAGTGCACTTTTCCTACAGTTAGACAAGATAGTCAATCATGTCTCTTACCGCTCTCTCACAGTAAGCAGTGATGAGTTTCCTCAGTGGTGTGTGCCTCTTTATCTTAAACTGTACGACTGCGCCATCCTGAAACATAAAATTCACCAGTCAAATTAGAAACAGTTTGGTTATTTACTTAACAGTTAAGTAGGTGTTTCTTGCTTGGAGTTGTACATGTAAAATTTTAAGCTGGGCTCCAAATATCACATGTATGTGCATACACACAGTTAATTCGGAGTTGCATAACTGTAAGTAGTTCTGATGTCTACTGGCATCTTTCCAGATACTGGGTATACTGTAAATCACTTTATGTACGCGGTACTTTCATATTCCAGGTTTTTGCGGTCACTTCTGTAGTGCGAATTTATCATTATCGCTAACAAATAATTTGCTGACTTTCATTCTTCTGCACCTGCCACAACCGCAAACATAACGTTCTACAAAATTTACAAATATGTCTGTTTTTCTCAGACCGCAAAATATTGCTATCACAGATTGCGCCGTCACGTGCCACGTGCCTGTGAAGCTGGTGTGTTGCGCCAAAGGGCAGTTATACCGGCTATACCAATACAGATACAGAAATATAAGGTGATTTTCAGTTTTAAGGTGGTTTGCAGCACTGCAGGTAGATTTTTGTTCACCTCCATTAGTCTGTGTGTGGGGGTGTGTTTGCTTGTGCGAAGCTAATGACTGTTGGGTAATCACTTCAAGAGTTACAGTGCATCTTAAAGGAAGTCTCACCTGTCCATGGACCTTCAGGTTGATGTGGTCTGTCTCAGGCTTCACCTCCTAGAAGAAAACAGGACAGTCACAATCTTAAATACCAGTTTGACTTGTTGCTCAGGTTTCCACAGATGACAAAAACTGCTTGCATCATGGGGGAAGTGTACTAGTGTGTTGTTTCTGCCAACAGGGCTCGAAATACTGGGTGCATGTGCACCTTAGTGCACCCAAAATTGGAGCTGTGCACCCAATTTTTTTTCTGTGGGTGCACTGGTGCATTTTTGTAGGTATTTTTGTACATTTCAAATGTATGATATTATGCAGAATATTCTTGGCATCTAAGTGTAAAAAAATAATTATAGAATCTAACTAGAATTCCGAGACCTCATACCTCCATGAAATATGATCTTGATATGTAAATGTAAATTTCTTCTTTAATTGTGCAAATGACCTCTGCATTAACATGATATATGCATCGTGATGTATGTTAACTTTTGATTAACTTACAGATGTCCCAAGTATGACATTCTCATCATTCACCATTACGAAATCATAGAATTTTCGCATTAATTATGCAAATTAGGTCATCATTTGCATAATTAGTATCTGTTGAAGTTCCGCCTGCCATAGGTTACATACATTACATGTATGTAAGTAGTATAATGTAAAGCACTGTAATTATAGAATTTCCTCATTAATTATGCAAATAAAGTCCTCATTTGCATAATTTGCATTTAATTATGTACATCTCTTGATTAACTTACAGATGTCCCAAGTATGACATTCTCATCATTCACCATTACGAAATCATAGAATTTTCGCATTAATTATGCAAATTAGGTCATCATTTGCATAATTAGTATCTGTTGAAGTTCCGCCTGCCATAGGTTACATACATTACATGTATGTAAGTAGTATAATGTAAAACACTGTAATTATAGAATTTCCTCATTAATTATGCAAATAAAGTCCTCATTTGCATAATTTGCATTTAATTATGTACATCTCTCTCTCAGCTACCTACACACCAAAAATAATGAAAATATGTTGTTCCTGTCTGGACTTACTGGCTTTTAAACATTTCGCCAGAAAGTGCCCTGCAGTTCCAGAACAAGCCGCTAGGGGGCCCAAACTCATATGACTTCTTCCCAAGCACGAGAGCTACCTTCCACCAAAATTTCATGACCCTAGCATGTCCAGATCGCAAGATATCAAAACCGGAAGTTGCGCTGCAGTACCAAGGGAAGCCACTAGGGGGACAAAAATCTCATCATTTCCAGTTTTCGTCACACCCTACCAACACACCAAGTATGAAACCAATCCATCCAGGCGTTCTTGAGTTATCTTGTTGATCAACAGACAGACGGACGGACGGACGGACGGACAGATAAACGCAACTGAAAATATAACCTCCATGACACATTTCATGGAGGTAACAAGTTAGCTCCCATTTCAGTGCTGAGAAGAGGAGCAGTAAGTTTCGTTTTATTTGGTGCACCCAAAAAATTTTTTGTGCACCTAATTTTTTAGATTGGGTGCACCAGTGCACCTATTCCCAAAAATGAATTTCGAGCCCAGGCCAACATTCAAACAGCTCTAAGTTAACAAATTCTGTACTTTGCAGTTATGCGTATGTGTACTTTTCGACACACTGAACATATAATTTAGCCTGTCTGTATGTGACTTGAATGTAGACGGAAACTCGGAAAGGACATTTGTTTTGATACATTTTCCGTGGTGCAAGCAGTTTCTGTGATCCGTGGAAGGGTGATTTCCTTTATGAGAATAGAGGTGGCAGACTTCACCCCTTCAGATGGTATGAGCCATCTGGCACAACAAACAGAAACTGCAGAATAATTTATGCAAAAACAGACAGAGACACACACAGTGACACACACACACACATACACACGGTAGTCCAAAAAGAATTCCCTTGGGTGAAATGACTACATTTTCATGTTATTAGTAAACAGGATATCCTGGAATCCAGACTGTTGGAAGGGCCCACATGGTCAGTTCTTTGGCACCAAGTATAAATTTTCTTTGGGGTACAAAAATAAGTAAAATTATTTTACTTATTTTTGTACCCCAAAGAAAATTTCGCCTCGTCTCGCAAGCCTTGGTTATTCAGGTCAAGGTGCCTAAGAAATGCCGATGCAAGACTGTTGCCTGAATCGTACACAGTATCAAGACACTTATGAGACCTGCAAGAACTCCTCTTTTCCGAAAATTGCGTAGGGAAGACCACGTTATAGTGGCCAGAAAAAATGCCGGCATATTCGCCATCTGTCAAAATGGCGGCAAAAACAAAGGCAAAACGTGCTCTTCCCCCACATATAATTTCCTCAATATTTCTTCCCAATTAGAGGCAAAATTACCCAAATTCGTTCAAAAGATAAGACAGAGATAACCCAAATACATTTCCTTTACCTTCTTTTCCTCTCCTTCGCTCATTTTGGCAGACTTTCGTGGGTAAAAAGACGATAGCACGTCGAATTCGCTCGAAGTTCTGGCGCAAACTAGAACCACTTCCGCCTTGAATTCGGATCCGCGCCGCTGATTGGTCAATATCTCGCGGGCAAAGTTAGCGGGCTTGTGAATGGCCCAACGTTATCATGTGATTTTTCTCGACTATACCAAATATATAGAGGGGGGATAAATAGCGTCACCTAGCAACTTTTAGTAACACTGCACCGATAAAAAACGGGTTTGGCATTTGGTCGTGCTTGGGTCCAGATATGACAATCTATGTAGAAACTCTATAAATGTATTCGTGTAACACAAAAGCGTGTGTTGACTACCTGTTTTGTTTTCGTGACAAATTCCAAGTATCAAAAACATCAGACCAAAAAAATAAAGAAAACGATATCGATCTAGAATTAAAATATTATTCTCGTATTTGTATTGGTGCCTGTATGAATGGATGCAATAAAGATATGGCCTTCCAAAAATGATAAAATAATTGAAATAAACCCTTTGAAAATTCTTTTCCATAACCATATGCATCTTTCAATATGTAACAAAAAAAACGATTAGAGTCAATTCCGCGTCACCGTGTGGGTTGTTATTGTCATTATTTAGAAATGTTTTGAATTCTTTGTAATTGTTTGTCTAAGAAATTTCATAATTTGGAAATATTTTGAACATCTTGTCAATATTCTAAATAATTCCCCGGTTTTCTAAAACGTTTGAAATATTCCTGATGTGGATTATGACATTTCCAATAGTTTCTCAATATTTCTAACAGCACTCTACCATTTTTTACCATTATTTCGAATTATTTCTAACATTTTGTAAATAGGTCAGTGGGATGGGAAGGAAGTAATTCACACATCCCTGTGAAGTACAGGGTAGACTGTCTGGGTGTCAGGCATTGATGCCTTACAACAAAAGAGCCACCAGCAGTGAAATCTAAAAATATACAGAAGAATACAGAAGAGTCGGATTAGCACCTACTTTTATGGGGGCAATTACCCACATCTACCATTTGGTTATTTGTTTGAAATAGTTCTAAATATTTCGAATTGTGAAAGAAACACATGGGTAGTTCAAATTTATTCTAAATAAAGAGACCTTTGTACAGTCACATTCAAAATGTTTCAGAAATATATAAATGAATTCAAATATATTCAAATTTTCATTTTCAAATTTTTGAAAAATTTAGAACTTTTGTTACTGGGGTATTCTTTTCTTCTAAGTTCTAAATAATTCAAACGTATTAGAAACATGGAGAAAAAACCCACACGGTGACGCGGAATGGACTCTACGTGTGCATATAATTTGTCTCGAAAGTTTTAAGGCAGTATTTAGAAATTATCAATTACGTCTGGTGGTGGATTTTCTATGATATTTAGTTGCACCTATATATACCTGCATTGAAGTAGTACCTATGCTACGACAGCCCTATGTTACGACAGCCCTATGTTACGACAGCCCTATGTTACGACAGCCCTATGTTACGACAGCCCTATGTTACGACAGCCCTATGTTACGACAGCCCTATGTTACGACAGCCCTATGTTACGACAGCCTTATTTTATGTAACGCAGGAACAGGGAATAGAAACTCTAAACTCTAATAGAAAAAAAAAAACTTTTCTTTAATGCCTCGTTGACAATTGAAAGAGCTCAAGATTTAGCCTAAAAATCTCGAGCTTTTTTGTCAAATCTGGCGAGCATAAGGCCGGGCTGGGACGGTGTCGGACAGGCAGGGACGGCGTCCTGATCGAACGAAGTTTCTCTGGGTAACGACTTATAAAAAACGAAAAGTATAGGTTGTTGTGATAAGTTTTCCGCAATCTCCGGTGACGCAAATCCATTGAAATTATATATAGAACGAAGCTATTTGGGTCATCAGGCGACAAAACCGCATCACCCTTGCCGCGGACTAATACCAAGAACGCTTCGCTGGCCGACCAACTTTACCAGGCCTGAAAATACTACAATCCACGGGTGTTTCGGCAAATACGAAACTATTTGCTTATCTATAACGATTACCGAGCAATGGAGAACCCTACCTACCCGACTAGATCCGCGTTGTTTGTTTATTTTTGTTTATGTTTTAGACTCGGGCTGGGTGTTAATGTCGCATACCTAATTTAAAAGGTCAATTAAGTTAGAGCGTAAAGTTGAAATATTCCCATAAAACTAACCATCCTACAAGAAAAGTATTGATGTTTTTTTCTTTCAGTGACAATATATTACGTGAAAATTTCCTTCGAGATCATTACACTCAATAAATTTACAATTTATCATTTGGCGTCTGAACATAGCCATAATCGCGTTGAAAAAAGGGGCGTCAAAACATAAGGCTGTCGTAACATAGGGCTGTCGTAACATAGGGCTGTCGTAACATAGGGCTGTCGTAACATAGGGCT